AGATTTTTCTTACATTAATCTACACTGGATAAAAAAAAAACAATTTGAGAATTTTGTTACTTGTCTTAAAGCAAATAAAGATGCTTAAATATATTCAACAGATACATGAACAGATGCATGTATTCTCTTTTTGGTGTAAGGTTTAAAAGAGGTTTTTCCTCCCTTATCTTTTCCAGTGGTCAGCCATTTGTTTCTTATGTTAGTCTTTTAGTCTATTTTATTCAGCCAGGTTTGTCCTTTTGAGAATGAAGACCTCCTTTAAAAGGGCGAATTTTCAGTAGAGCAATAACACGATTTGAATACAGCAATTATCAATAAAGAAGTAAACTTCATAAAACCTGGAACAATCCTCCTTCTCACATATAAAGCCTTAAATGGCTAAGCTCCATCTTATATCAGAGATCTGATCGTTCCTTATGTTCCTAACAGAGCACTTCGCTCTCAATCTGCAGGTTTACTAGAGGTTCCTACAAAGTAGAATGGGAGGCACATCTTTTAGATATCAGGCTCCTCCCTGTGGAACCAACTACCAGTTTTAGTCCGTGAGGCAGACACCCTGTCTGGAGGCTTGAAACTTTCCTTTTTGATAAAGCTTATAGTTAGAGTGGCTCAGGTTATCCTGAGCTATCTCTATAGTTATGCTGCTATAGGCTTAGACTGCTGGAGGACATAGGGACCCCTATTTCATCATTCTGCTTCATTCTATCTCTATTCTCCCACTCTGCAGAATCTATTAGTTCAATCTCTAACGTTCTGCTCTCTCTGCGATTTATCATAGTAGATTTATCTGGTCTGTTCCTGTTTGGCTGTGACTCCATCCTGGAGAGAAATATCAGCTGGACTAACTCTCTTCATCCTCTGACATGGGAGCTGGGTCAGAGCTCGTCTGCCTGGCTGTGTGTTTCCTGGACAGGGCTGCCTGTGGAGCTGGTTTACAGTTGCCTTTTGTAGATGTTGGAGATCGGCCTGTCTTCAGGTGTGGTCCTGTTTCTCTGGCCGTGGCTGGGTGGATGTGCTCTCTTCATCCTCTGGCATGGGAGCTGCCTTGGAGCTCGTCTGCCTGGCTGTGTGTTTCCTGGACGGGGCCGCCTTTTACAGCTGCTTGTATCTCTGCTTCTGTCTCCTTGAACCCCAGTCGGCCTCAGCAGATGGCCGCTCACACTGAGCCTGGTTCTGCTGGAGGTTTGTTTCTGTTAATAGGGAGTTTTTCCTCCCTACTGTCGCTACAAGCATGCTTAGTGTGAGGGATTGCTTTTGAGTTATGAGTTGATGCAAACAACTGGTTTTCCTTAGATTGAAAACTTTGAATTAAATTGACTGTATGATCTGTTTGAAGTGTAAAGTGCCTTGAGATGACATGTTGTGAATTGGAGCTATAGAAATAAACTGAATTTAATTTATTTGGACACAAGCATTAGCAGATTTCTGCTTGATCTTTACATTTATTCAGCTATAGAAGGTTTTGCAGCTTAGAGGATTGATCCTGTCATTAGTTACCAAAAGCATGGGAGCTTTTTTTTCTCACTCTGGGTCCTAGTCTTGGAAAACTCTAGTTCATTAAATGTTTATTGAATTTGGTTGTCTTGTTTCCCTGTCAATGTGAGAACATTCCAGTGACAGAGGCTATGAGCATTTAGGAAAGTCCAGTTTACATCAGTGGAGAGGAGACAATAAGTGAGGAAAATATACTTTATCATTATTTCTCTGTACCCTGTGGTTTATACCATCCAACATGGAAAGACAATGAGTAGATCCACTGACAGCTCTGAATCAATGACAGACGTGCCTCAATTAGATATGAAAATAGAAATAAGAAAAATGTATGTAATTATTCCTGCTGGTAGCCTCACTGCCCTGCGAAAGACTGGTGATCTGTCCAGGGTGTACCCCACCTCTCACCAGTAGACAGCTGGAGATAGGCACCGGCACCATTCGTGACCCTGCTTGGGATAAGCGTGACGTAAAATGGATGGATGGATGGATGGATGGATGGATGGATGGATGGATGGATGGATGGATTTTTTTTGTGTGTGCAGTTTTTCAAAAGCATACAGCAGTCAATCAAAAGCCAACGAAATAGTAGGTGCATTGCAGCAAATTACTGCATCATCAGCAAGGAAATAAAAAGCTGAGTACAAAACTACATATCCTGACTTTAAATAGATAAACAATAATAAGGAAACAACTGAGCCTTGCAGGATTGCTTCTGCGTTTACAATTAACCTGTGCCAGAAACATCGGCTTCAATTACCTGGGTTCTACTAACAAGATTTTTAAAACCAAAAATAATAAATGGTCTAAGTTTGTTTAGAACTTTTAATATGAACTTTTAACTTTTACATAAACACCAGGGTCGGCTCAAGCCTCAATGGGCCCTGAGCAAATTTTGATTTTGGGGCCCTTCATTTCTGCCAATGCAATCAAAATTAAAATAATCAGCTCACTTATACAACAAATATAAACTCATAGTAGATCTGGCAGTGCTGTCTACAGTCTGTTATTTGCCAAAAGTAATAATAATAATAATAATAATAATAATAATAATAATTACAGTTGAACCGATACCAATATCGGGCGGGGCAGTAAAATGTTGGTATCGTTATCGTGAGTACCAACAAATAGGGACCGATACCATTTTGAGAGCCAAAAGTTTGTTAACTATTGTCACCCATTCCAGGTAGGCAATAAAAAGTTCTCCTGGATTCGCTTTGTATTAGTCTATTTTCTGCTTCACAAAGGTAGGCAGCAGCTTGATAAAGCCATGATGGCAATTATTTTACATCCAAGTAGTATGCAGTTCTTCATATATACACAAGCATCAATTTCACACAGATGGTATCGGTATCAACCAATACACAGCCAGGTATAGTATCGGGGCCAAAAAATGGCATTGGCGCAACACTAATAAAAATAAAAGTAGTATGCAATTTATTTACAGTTTGGTTCCAACTGCAAAAACAATGTGCAAAAATAGCCCAAATAACAAAAAAAAAAAACAAAAAACAAAAACAGAAGATTTAAGAATTGAAAATAATGAATTAGAATGCATAAAACAGACATAATTTAATAAAAAACACAAAAAATATAAAGAATGCTCTTAAATAATAGAAACCAATACATTTTCATTTTTAAGCAATGATTTCTTAATGTTGAAAGATATATTGATGTAAAAAAAAAAGCACAACTTTATTATCAAGTATAATATTAGATAAATTCTTATATATGCATAAAAAAACTAAACAAAACAAAACAATTATTCTTAGAGGCCCTGTCTATTTGCCCTGGGGCCCTAGGCAGTCAATAAGTTTGCTTATTCCATGCTCCGGCCCTGCTAATCATCCATGCAAATGCAAAGAAATTCATAGCAACTTGGCGTTGATTACCTTGCCCATGTGCACACTGACATGCGGAAGGAAAAAGTTGGAATCATACGTTCAGTTTTCTGTTTGGAAGACCGCAGCTTTTCCCACTGTGCCATATTTGCTCATGATACATGCTCTCATAGCCCATTGTATTATATTGAAGTCAGATACTGAAAAGCAGAGCAGTAAATTATGGTTTCATGTTTGAGAAAACTGTAAAGGGCCACAATAAGATCCCTGATATAGAACCATCTGCTTGAAGTGTGTGAGTTGTTCCTACAGGATTGTTTGCAAACTATATATTATAATCCATTATATGGTTTCTAATATATTTTCATGATATAATAGGAAATAGAGGCCCATTTTTAAGCGTATATGGCTTTTCATATCCCTTCCAGGTATGTTGAGTCCTAAAGCCAGATGAACAGTATTTTCTGATGGAACCTAGCTTAAAACCATAACAGAAAAAAATATGCAATAATTTTTTAGAGAACTATAATATAAAAGGGTTTATGATTAATTAATACCCAATAAAATCTAGTTATTCTAATCGTGAGCTATCTCTATAGTTATGCTGCTATAGGTTTAGACTTCTGGAGGACACAGGGACTCCTTTTTCATCATTCTGCTTTATTCCATCTCTATTCTCCCACTCTGCAGAATCTGTTAGTTCAATCTCTAACGTTCTGCTCTCTCTGCGATTTATCATAGTAGCTTCCCCTGATCTGTTCCTGTTTGGCTGTGACTTCATCCTGGACAGAAATATCAGCTGTGCTGCTCCCATCAACATCGTTGTTTATAGATGTTGGAGATCGGCCTGTTTTTCCAGTGTAGTCCTGTTTTTCTGACTGTGACCGGCTGGATGCGCTCTCTTCGTCCTCTGACATGGGAGCTGGCTCGGAGCTCGTCTGCCTGGCTTTGCGTTTCCTGGACACTCTTTAATGCCAAATCGTTGCTAAAATAGAAGAGGTTGCAACACCCTATATGATCTCAGCACAATCCTGCTAAATGCACTATTAAACATTTTCACATATTGAATGATGGGGGCCACCTTTGGAGCTGGTTGCCTTTTCTATCTCTGCTTCTGTCTCCTTGAACCCCAGTCGGCCTCGGCAGATGGCCGCTCACACTGAGCCTGGTTCTGCTGGAGGTTTCTTCCTGTTAAAAGGGAGTTTTTCCTCTCCACTGTCGCTACAAGCATGCCTAGTGTGGGGGATTGCCAATGCAATCATCTGGTTTTCCTTAGATAGAAAACTGTGAGTCAATCTGACTGTAAGATTTGGTGAACTGTAAAGTGCCTTGAGACGCGTGTTGTGAATTAGCGCTATATAAATAAATTGAATTTAATTTGACTTTATGGGACAGAGGAACAATCTTTATTGAATAATGTTTTGTCTTTTTAAGAGAAAACATGGTCAATGTAATTTAGCTGTGTTTCTACTGACAATAGAGCTCTTACATACTGTAGCTTTAAATGCACATGTAACAAAACACATAAGCTTTGGTTAAAACCAATGCTTTAGTGCCTGATAGTATTTCTTCCCTGTAAAACTGCTCCTGTGTCCGTTTTTTAAAGCCACTCCGATCCAATTGAACACATTTCCTGTTTGAGTTCCAAGCAGCGGAGCTGCTTGCATGTGCGCCTATCAACACTAACACAAGAAGCTCGCTAGAGTTAAGATGGCGGCATGTGGGTGAGGAGGCAGGGATCCAAACTCTTGGGTTTTCTTTCGCAATCAAAAGACTCCTATGAACGCCCACACCTACAAAATCTGAAGGGATAACAGTTTCCACACCTTTAACGCATCCGTGTGGGATTTCGGACTGACTCCATGACATCTATTCACTTCGTTGTTCACCCGTTGCCCGGGACCGAGGATCAGCTCAATGACAGGTATTTTGTTGCGGTACACGAAAAAGAAGAAATTAAAACACTGTTTATGGGCCGTACGGGTTGGGCTGCACTCGGTGTTGTGTTTATCGGGGATTTTGACACTGTCACGTCGTTTGCATTTGAGGTTTAACGATAAAAGCGGAGCCCTTTGGGATGATGAAAGGCCCGGCATTTTGAGCAGTCCTCGTTAGCTAGCCGCTATGCTAAAGGCTAGCAGGACGTTCCTTGGTTCTTTGGACGGATTGGCTCTCAGTCAAAGTTGAGACAGACAATGCGGGTTGGGGGATGGGGGTAAGAGGGGGGAAATGTTGGACTTTTAACACAACCACCTTTTAAATGCCCTGCTTTCGGTATAAAATACATTTAGGCACTTTGGGCACGAGTAATGCTCAGTGCTGTTGGCTTTGTTGTGCATTATATTGATCAATGGAGGAGCTAACGGCTGCTAACGGGTGCTAGTTAGCTACTTGTGCTAACTGGCTGGGTTACTATCAGCCACGCGCATAACAAAGGCAAATATTCTTACTTTGGAGTCTCTGTTTGGAAAAATCTTATCTCATTGTTTAGTTGGAAGTTTGCTCAGTGACATCCGAGCGAACTCGACTTAATTTTCTGTTTCTTAACGTCGTGTACTCAGATGGATATCTGAAAAATCTGCGGCGGAGCAGAAGCAGCAACATTACATATACATTAATCTGGTTATCGACTTTATGAAAGTGGAGAGATGTTTGTTTCAAAGTGTTTGTTTTTCTGTGCACACAATTATTTTATTAAAAAATCAGCTTCACTTAAATAAAGAAACAAAGTTCTTTAATAATACAGATATGTTAAATGCATCTTCACTCTAGTTGTACCAATTTATTTTTAGTTCCCTTTTATATCTGAAGTAACCCTTCAATCAGATGTATTTGGATGAAAGCGATTCTACAGATTGGATGATTTTTGTATTTTAACTCAACATGTGATTTATGCTAAATCTATTTATACTGCCCTTCCAGGTCGTGCTGATTAATGAGCTGTTCCACTTAGAAACAAAGAAGTGAGAATTCAGGGTTTTTACAGAGTGACCTTGAGATTAAAGAATAGTTTAAATTAGAGGTTTTTTATCTGCATTTTGACCCTCTGTGGGGTACAGTGGTGGGCTTACTGATGGGGGGGAAGCCAGTTTATTCTGTTGGTTTAGAGTCCAAGTGAATGTGTAACATAGTCCACCTGTTTCCTAAAGAGGGCATGGCTGTTCCAGCCTGCATATCTGTCACCATGTGCTGCTAAGAGCAACCCCCCCCCCCCCCCCCCCCCTTCTCATATCTATTACAGAAGTTGCAGTTGTCAAATCGAGTAAGCAGGCTTCAGTCTGAAATTGGAACTTGGTCCAGCTGTGTCCTTTGGAGGAATGTTTGACATAAACATCTGGTCAAATTTGCTTAGCAGGTTTGATCAAGCAATAGTTTTTTTTTTCTTTCTTTCCTTCCTTTTTTTTATTTAGGCATTGAATTTTTGGAATTTGCTAGAGTTTCTCTGATTGAAAACAGATATTTGACATACTAACCTCTACCCTCATTTTATTCACATTGTTACAAAGAGTTAATTAAAGGACACTGGCCTGCTTTTATGGAGTAATGGTTAGCTAGTATCAGTAGCTACGTTTACATGGACACAACTAATCGGATTAAAGGCCTGATCAGATCAAAAATGTTTCATGTAAACATGTCAGACTGAAGATTCTAATCCGATTCGGTCCGATCGGAAATAAATTTAATTCCGAAAGAGAGAGGTGTTTTTTGCCGATCGCCATTCTGATTGGCGTCCATGTAAACACCCATTCGGATCTTAAGAGTAAAATAATCTTCACTGTGCATGTGTGCGACGTCAGCGTGACGTTTTTCCGCCTTTTCAACAACAGGAAACCACCAGTCGCTCTTGTTGTGAACAACATGGCGGGAGGAGTCTAGGAACGCCGACTTATACACTCAAGTTCATTTAAAGCTGCAGGAAGCAGGAATTTATCCTCCTCCTCTTCCTCTTTTCTCTCTCCACAGCCCACTCGCTCTCCCACGCCGGTTCAATCGCTCATTCTCTACATTTTCTCTCGGACATTTCGCTGCCAGGCGCTTTTTTCCTCCTCTCTCCGTTTTTCCTTCCGCTCGCTCCGAGCGCATCGTTTGTCAGGCCTCCCAAAAACCAGACGCAGACAGAACTGCCAAGTTTGGCAGGAAGTTCTGCGCATGCTTAAAAGATTTAATCTGATCCAACGCTTGGTACATGTATACACACGTCATGATCGGATCATTTCATTTAGTGTCCATGTAAACGGAGATTTTGAATTTCCGATCAACCAAGGTTTGGATCGGATCGGGGAAATTTTGCGCATGTAAACGTAGCTAATGTCTTATTACAATACCGCTTTTTACAATCTCACAATTGTAAAGGACTGCTTGCATGCGGCATTTGGTGGGCTCCCAGCCCATGGCTTTTATAGATTGGAATGGTAAAGCCTGGGTCACACCAAACATGATTTTGTGTCCAATTGGACAGAATACGTCTCTTAAAAGGTCGTGGTTCTTAGGACTCATTGAGAGAGAACAGGGATGAACACGAAGGCACCCGTAGTTCTGACCGAGATTGGGTTAGGCAGTAATTCAGCAACAATTTCTTGGGTTTGACAGGAGGAACGATGTGTTTTCAAAGCAAAGGTGAAGCTCAATGTAACCGCTGCCTAGATCCATCCCCAGATAGGTTTGTCCAGGACAAACGCCTCGGCATTCGGGTCCCCAAGATCAATGCCTGATCATCATGTAGAGAACAGAACAATTTTAATATGAGACATTAAATCTGGCTTAAAAAGACAACAACCCATAGTGCCAATACAAAGCCTTTCCACAGTCGGTGTCATGTAAAAAAATAAAATAACACAGCTTAAAATCTGACCTACCGTTTTGACTCTGGCTTAAAGGTGGAAAACTCACTGTAGGCCTTGTCCACTAAACTGGGTATTGTGATAGTGCTTACTAAGTTTTAATACCCATACAAGTAGCCCATCCAAACCTTAGTTAAGTCAAAATTCTAATCACTTATAAAATATAAAGTAAAAACAGTGTTTCAGCAAAAATAAAATACCAGATAGGCATCAAATTATAGTCATCTGAATGTTTCTCATCTTCCTGCAGTTTAAAAAGACAAACGAAGCCTTCATACAGGTTAAGTTGAACAGTATGCCACTGCCCTCACAGCCAATTGTTTCCTTTCAATTCAGAGACTTTAGTTCTGATTCACTTCCTAAAGCCGGGCATACACTGTGCGTTTTTTTTTTTTTTACCCTTTCCTGTCGTGGAATCGTGAGAAAATCAAACATGTTTGAAATTCAGTATAACATCGTAAGGCGGTCGTGGGCAAATCGCTCAGTGCGCAAATAAGGATTCTTCTTTTTCTTCTTCCTCTCAGATGTAAACACAGAAGCATTGCGGGGGTGCGAGTGAAATGGGGTTCTCTCTGTAAATTGACAGACCGTAGTCGCTATGTTTGCTTAGCCATGTCTTTGTCCAAATACGTCGTCGCTTCATTTTTAGGGCTTTCAACACAAAATCGCACAAATTGCCAAGGCAGCGCGTTTCACTCTAGTGCGCTTCATATTCCTCTTCTACTCGTTTGGCTTTCGGATAGACGAGACCGAGTAGCGCCATCTCACTGCGGAGCTGAGTCCCACGTGGTTTTTAGACGTAAAGTGCGAGCAGATAGATCGCATCAGTGTGAGAACATACATCGTGAGCTGTGAACTCACACTGTACGATGAAACCCTGCGGTTTCGTCTCACACTGTGAGCTGCATGTAACGATTGAAACACGCTTAAAACAAGTCCTTTAATTTTATCACATATTGTCAATAAATGTTGTTTAAAAGCTGTTTAACTGTTTTCTAACTTCTGGTGTGGATGATTTCTAAACATCACTAGTTATATAAAAAAAACAATAGTAGATTAAAATGGGGATATTTTAACATCTCTTTTAAATATACTGTGCTAAACCACTGTTTTCAGGTGGTTTAATTGTCTTCATGGACTGAAATCCTCCACAATAATACAGTAGTAAAATGGTTAAGATTAAACAATAAATGATTGAGATGCTTAACTGTCATAAAGACGATGTTTGGATTTACTTACAGGATGTTGATGATGGATAAATATTGGTTATTTGTGTAAAATGTGGATCATTCACCATCTATAACATGGTGGAAATAAACAACAATAGAAATAATTTAAATTGCTATATAGCAGACTTTGCTGGACTTAATAATTAATTGCAATATTTTGGATATTTGAGACGGTGAAAAAAAAATTGAATAAATAAATATATAGTTTATAGGATGCATTCTGAATCCCACTATAAAGAAAAATAAAAAGAATCAACCCCTTATCTAGAAATTGTACAGCTGCCTCCAGGTGTGCTGCTATATTCGTGAATAGTTTGCAATAATATTTATTTTTTGAATTTAAAAACAAATCACTATAGATCAACTGATTTTTTTTTAAAGGAATTTTATTTTCAATCTAGTCCGATTTCCAATATGGGCTGCAGATGTTTTCGGTCCGACTCTTAGAGCCAATATTGCTTTTCTTTCTTCAGTTTACATGCTATAAAACAGAGGTCACGGATTAGCGGACCGCGGTCCGGATCCAGATCCACCTGCTGGCCAATCCGGACCCAACCTAATTTAAAACATTTCTAAATTACCGCATGTTGTCCGACGGCAGTGTCGAATTTCATTTGCGCCGCTTCTCCTGTTAATACGGTAAATCCCCCTGGGACCAGGCTACATGTGATACAAATGATCCAACGAGCTGCTGTCAGTCTGGGTTGCTGCTGCTGCTACTTTTAGACACAGCAGGCAAACCTGTGGCAAGCCAGGCGGTGGGAAAGAAGAAGATGAGGAAAAAGTGAAGGAAAGTGGTGTGGACTGCTGCAAGAACTGGCGAACTAGTGATAGAAAAGTGAAATGGTGCTCAA